AGCAAGAAAATGTTGCAAGCAAAAATAAAGTATTTTACAGTAATTAATTTATTCTGAGCATGCTCAGACGTTCTGTCAATGTTGCCGGGAGAGGTAATTTTTGATGAAAATCGTGAAAAAGACCCACTTGGGATTTTCAGATCTGGAAAAAAAATTACGTGCATACTCAGCAGAGATTTGTTCATCAACCTGCCAAGTTTCACTGATATCTGCTGTAGAATTTCTGAGAAAATGTTGGAGACGGAAAAATGGACATAACCTGAATTATAAAGTCCCCTTTTCAGGCTGCGCCTGAACGGGGACTAATAATAACAAAGAAACTACTAAGCCATGACAAAGCAATAAATAGAAGATTTGAATGACATTGCTTTCACTCATATTTGTTATTTTGAAATTACATGTATTCCATCACCAGAGGGCGCAATTTACAGGAATTGTGTATTACAGTGGCTGTATATGGGCATTACCTTTGGGCACTGAATAACCATAAATTGTCCTCTAAATGACGCTACTACAATGTGTGATGCAGGGGTCATTGTACTGTATCTTGGATCTAATTTCAAACCAACAAAATCCTCGTTGGTCGGTGACATAATCAAACTACCAGTATTAAGTGAATAACCCATGAATAATCCATTAATATTACAGAGGATATAGTCAGCACCAGTGGCATCGTGCACACGTGATATCTACAAAAAGAAATACATCCAATAGTATTGGTCAGAGTGATACTATAAATACAACCTGATTGACGCATGCACAGCCACCATATTAGAATGGGGACAACTTCATCATTTGACATATCTACAATGACATTTCTTGCTACTGCATTAATGCAAAATAGTGCACCCAAACTATTTCACGGATATTGGACACTATAGTTGCTACAAAGCATTGTCATTATGGTGACTCTAGAAATGATATAGGATATGCAGACCAGGATTATATAAGGAATATTTTGTTATTTGATTTTTAAAATGACACATGAACATGAAAACTCGTATGATTATGGCCGAGAAGGTTTTGATATTGGTTTTGCTATTGCAATTTTTGTACCCTGGATTATTAAAATATGACTTATTATGACCATAAACACACAGTGACATTAAGCTAATCATGGTCATACACAAAAAATGCACCCTGTATTGTTTATTTTGCTGGTTTGTTTAGGAGTGCTCCCTCCCAGTCTTATTACTTACATCAAATGAACACACATCATCATCAATGCACTGTTGGTGCTGGTCTTCAGAGAGTTCAACTGTGATATTAAGATCCATTATTTTAAATTTATGTAAATCAACGCTAACAAAGGTAATATGAGGACCTACAGAGAATAAAACAAAATGTCTTTATTAATATCAAGTTTTGAAGATAAGCATACAGTCTTGGTAAAGTTACCTGTGTGCTGACTTGTTTTACAGTCTTGGTAAAGTTACCTGTGTGCTGACTTGTTTTACAGTCTTGGTAAAGTTACCTGTGTGCTGACTTGTTTTACAGTCTTGGTAAAGTTACCTGTGTGCTGACTTGTTTTACAGTCTTGGTAAAGTTACCTGTGTGCTGACTTGTTTTACAGTCTTGGTAAAGTTACCTGTGTGCTGACTTGTTTTACAGTCTTGGTAAAGTTACCTGTGTGCTGACTTGTTTTGATAACTTTCACCATACAATTTACTCAAAATGGGCATTTTTGTAGATTATGAATTCAGTTTTATAAAAGGTAAAAGGATGTATTGATTATCATTTTCTTGTTTTACCTGCCTACCGATATTCATAATGTGTAGTACTCCTACCACAATAAGATGAAATGTTTGAATAAAATAACAAATCTGTCATTACATGTACAACCATATAGAGTGCGAGTCCACAGTGTTTTTATATGTGCTCGTAAATCTAATTAGATGAGCACACTCTTACTTTGTAAATTGACTACAATTAACTACTATAACTATGTTAGATTTTTCATAGTTGATGGATACCTTGCTGATGTCATCCCATCCGGAATTATAGTGTTACCGGTAGTTTTAGGTTCCAAGAGAAGGTAACTGAACTAATTAAGTTATGATAACAACAAGAAATAGACATGCCAGAAAACCTACCAACAATGCCAATGTATGTTAAATACTGATACAGGATTCAATTTAATGTTGTTTGGGCATTCTCTATGGGAGTACATAAGGTAAGGTAAATTGTTGTAATTTTTCCTGAAACCAGGCAGAACCAAACTGTTCTTTTTTTGTGAATCCATGTCCATGTATTCAATTGAATTAATTTTTAATGGTTTTTTTTTGAAAATTTATCATTTGTTTATTTTAAAAGTACCACAAGAAACACATATTATGTTTTATTTGCCATTTTTCTTGAAATTTCTCTTATACTTATTAATAAACAATGAAACAAATATGTTTTATGGTTATGAATGATGTTTATGTGTCAAAATGTAAGTGATCTTCATGTTAGAGATCTTGGCACGTGCTGAGACTCGGGCAGAGTCAGCACTTGTTGATATGTGTATGTGAATGGTCGGGACCAAGTCGACACATGCCGGAAAAATCGATCTCGGCCTTGATAGATGCTCAGGACCAAAACTCAGCATGTGCCAAGATTTGCTGCCTAAAAACTTGTCAGTGAATTTAACAGAACATACACTGATGATGGAGGGAAGTGAAGCTATATATGGTCGGATGCTGTAGTAATGAATTAAATGACTGCAAAATGCTGTCAACAACACATATTTATGTGCTGCTGCAATGTTTTTTTTTGCAATGCTACATAGATGGAAAAAAATAATTGTTTTTCAAAACTTCTTTGCTGTTCATGTGCACGATGACTTGCAATAAATACCATAACAACAAGACATGAAATGTCACAGTCCCCGTTATTTAATTATAAAATACAGGTAGTACAAGGAACATCTGCAAACAGGTGAATAAATATGTACTCTTTGTGGGTACAACTCATCATAAAGTGATTTCCCATAATCTAGTTTTGTACTGACAACTAAAAACTTCCACTGACCCATGTTCAGAATCTCAGAGTACACAAGTGCAACAAAACCACACTGTATTTGTCATACATGTATACTTGCTCAAGAAACTGCATTCATAAATCTGAGTGAACCTTGATGTACATGACTTCTTTGTTAATCAGGTCTTAGTATATTACCAGGACCTGGGTTTGTTTCAACATCACCACTGGGCATCAGAATCATTCTCATGTTGTCAAATACAATTTGTTAACACAGTAAGGTTTATTATTTAAAATGTATTCATTGTACACAGAACAACATCTGTTAATTTAAACAATTGTAAAAGCTATGTTTTCAGAGCAAGTACATGTAATAATTAAGAAAGCCAGCAGTGATAAAGGTTGGTCTGCTCATAACCTTCAATGGAGAAGTAACAATAATTGTTTGAAGTCTTTTTAGTGCAGTGATATTATTGCATTTCAATCATTATTAATGGGTATAAAATACTGTAAATCATTTAATTTTCACTTCTAGACATATTCAGGATTTTATGAAATTTGTGTACAACATTTCAATAAAGTCCCTGACACTCCATGTTGTAGGAACCCAGAAAAAATTGCCTTGTGAAATTGAAGCAGTTCACAGCACCACTGTAAAAAAAAAAAAAAAAAGGTTTTAAATGAGTATTGTCCAAGATATACACATGTGGGTTCATAAGACATATGTACCAATCTGAGTGGTTCTAGAGATTAGTATCACAAGATTTTACTCTCCGTGATTCAATATCAGCCCTATGTATAACGCTGTGTTGATCAGGCGAACTAATTGACAATGGCCCTACAGGTATCGCTATGCAATCACAGTAGTTTTGTATTCTTCTTGCATTTCGACCATGGAAAAATATTTGTTTTTGAGAGTGGCCGAGTTATTAGAAGAAAAACAGAAACTATTTTTTTTAGTATGAATTCT